TACTTCTTGTTTCATACAACAATTGTAGCGACTTGATCACTGAGACTGTTTGTCGACGAGTGAATAATGCGCATGCTCAGTTTTTCTTGGGGGAAACATTCTAACTACGCATGCTTATGCACCAGGTTCTCGGTCAGAAAGCGTAACGGTCGTACATACAAACAATCAGAATAATAGTATAGATGTTTATAGGTTATTAGTGTCATTCGTACATATACAAATACTTATTGAGTTATAATGACGTACTAGTTTCCCAAGATGTAGTATGAAGTATATGTTATTTGAACAGCGAACCTTTTATACCTCCAAGACAAGGTTCTCAGCTACAAGACCGTGTTTGTAAATGTTGTGTACAAGTTTACACATTAATCTGTATTTACATATAACAGAAAACTTGTGTGCATTGATAATGTTTAAAGAAAAGTTAGATGGATGGATATAGTTTCTTGTCATAAAACGTACGTCAGCGACTGTCACATATTCACTCATAAACAGTTTTCCCAGCGACCACCTAGCTTGCTGAGACTAAAAACTTACGTGAATTTAACGAACACATATATATGTACTTTAAGTTTGTTTTGCTTCATAATTTTCACGCAAAGCTAACCAAAGGGCTAATTGCGCTTAACCATCACCAATTACAATTTGATAAACTAGAGGAATGCAGCTAGTCAACAGCGCCCATCGCCAACTCTTGAGCTACTCTTGTCTGACCTAATAGCAGGATTTGACCGTCATTCCTGTGACGAACCTATAACTCCGAAGTGCGGAGCGCATTTACTTGGAAAGATGATGACCACGCTAACCATTAGTCCACTCATTTTAACGAGAGAGGTCTCTTTTGTTTGTTTATATTCAAGGTACAAAAAAAGTATATACCTTTAATTTTGAACATCTTTAAACAAATAGACCGACATATTACGTTACTATTTAGACTCTATTCTCATGTATATACATATAATGTGAGTTTCAGTTATTAATCCTGCAATGACGAAAAAATATTGACAGCTATATCAACAAGCATGCTTGAATTAAGTCAGGTTTTATTGGACTTCCAAGATATACTATTTCAGGATCACTTTCCTTGTTTTTTTTATTGGACTTCCAAGATATATTATTTCAGGATCACTTTCCTTATTTTTTTTATTGGACTTCCAAGATATACTATTTCAGGATCACTTTCCTTGTTTTTTTTATTGGACTTCGGTAATATACTATTTCAGGATCACTTTCCTTGTTTTTTTTATTGGACTTCCACGATATATTATTTCAGGATCACTTTCCTTGTTGTTTTTTTATTGGACTTCCAAGATATACTATTTCAGGATCACTTTCCTTGTTGTTTTTATTGGACTTCCAAGATATACTATTTCAGGATCACTTTCCTTGTTGTTGTTTTTTTTCTTTTAACACCGAAAAAACAAATTAACCAAGATCTCATGCGACGTGATTAAAATCCGTAAGCATATTGTTTTGCTTTTTAAGCGTAAATGCAAGACTGATTAAAGTTGTATTGTTTTTAATATTCGCGCAAAGCTATGTACGGCCTATCTGCTTTGGCCGTCTCCAATTTTGAACTCTTGGGCTACTCTGATAGTGAAATTTGACTGTCGCTCTTATAACGCACCCACAACCCCCCAAGTGCGAAGAACGAATTTTCTTTGCAGCAGCAGGACTACAACCATGGACCCTCGTAGCCACACCCCGGCACGTTAATAACTAGGCCACGCCCGACCACAACTGCTTGAAATTCTTCTTTCTTCAGCAGTTTTATCATTATTGAAAACACCATGTGTTAAATTGACGTAATGACTGCAAAAACGATCTTGGTTTGCTAAATAACATAAACCCTTTCCTATTAGTATCTATACCCGCCTTCCGTCACGCAACGCCAAGAACGTCTAATTAAGTTTCGAATGTGTAAGCGTTCAGTGGTTAATGTTGTTCATAGAGCGTCTTTGTCTCCAATAAATCACACACTTCTCTTAAAACTATTTGAAACTTTCCAACTTCCAGTCATTTTGCCCCCCCCCCCAGTGGCACAGCGATATGTCTGCGGACTTACAACGCTAGAAACCGGGTTTCGATACCCGTGGTGAGTAGAGCACAGATAGCTCATTGTGTAGCTTTGTGCTTAACTAAAAACAAATAAAATCCAGTCATTTTCTCATATGCTAATATTATCAGAGGAACATAGCTATTGTAATACGCAAGATAAATT